GGTGAGACCTCACCTGGAGTACTGTGTACAGTTCTGGGGCCCCCAAGATAAAGGGTACATGGAACTGTTGCAGTGGGTCCAGAGGAGGGCCATGAAGATGATCAGAGGGCTGGAGCACCTCCCCTACGAGGACCTTATTGTGGCGTTCCAGTTCATGAAGGGTCATACAGGGAAGCTGGGGAGGGGCTTTTTACAAGGGCACAGAGCAATAACACAAGGAGGGAATGTTTTTAAACTGGAAGAGGGTAGATTTAGGCTACATATTAGGAAGAAATTCTTTACTGTGAGGGTGGTGAGATACTGGCACAGGTTGCCCAGGGAAGTTGTGGATGCCCCCTCCCTGGAAGTGTTCAAGGCCAGGTTGGTCAGGGCTTTGGGCAGCCTGGTCTGGTGGGAGGTGTCCCTGCCCATGGCAGGGGGTTGGACTGGATGAGCTCTAAGGTCACTTCCAACCCAAAGCATTCTGTGATTCTATATTGGGGCTGGAGGTTTAGGCAGTGCAAATGTTACAATGTTATACGAGTGCAACCAATTTACCACTGAGATGGCTGCAGCATTTTGCCAGTTGTCCTAAAAAAACATATATGTGAGAGGGAAATTGTTTACTGCAGAGTCTCTTGTAGCTGGAATGGCTCCATGGCAGTTAGTAATGGCTTCAACATGGGTTTTTTTTGATAGGTTACTGGACTCAGAAAAAAAGTCTAGTTTTGTTACTCCTAGCAGAAAATACATAGATTTATGTGGTGATGCTGCTCTGGAAGCAGAGCTCAGGTAATTAAGTGCAGCAGCTCTGTTTCCACCATGAGGGATTAGGACTAAGGTGAAGAGGAAGAATCCAAACTGAACAAGGGACAGTTTTGTCAAGTCACTGGTAGGCAGAATGACACCTTGAATATTACTCCTGCCCTGGGACATGGTGGATCACAGTTTTTCATCCAAACTACTAACACGCAGCTTGAAACTAATGGAACAGCAAGAGTTTTGTGGGGTACAGTTGCATCTCTATGGATGCAACTGCTGTTCTGCAGGTCAAAGGGAAGCTGCTTGGCAGCAGTTATACCAAACTGCTCTTAAGCACTGCCTACCGAGGCAGCTTCCTCGCCTCAGAAATGAGCTGACTGAAGAAGCCTGCCCTACACAGCAGCATCAAATCTAGGATTTAAGTGATGAGTGCAAACAACATCTGAGAAGGAGACTACCTCATGCCCTGGGCTGCAGGGCCTGTGCCAGCTCTGGGAGGACAGGGCCAGATGGCACTGTTCAGTGGGTGACCTGACAGAGCTATGCAATGGGACCTGAAATGCTTGCCTGGCTGCAGCACACCCATATGTCAGTGCTTGAGGATGCTGCCCAGAGGCAGTGTCAGTGCCCCTGGGTGCTGCTGGGTTCAACAGCTTGAGTCACTGCCTCAGTACTGTCCTCTTGCCTTTAGGGACAATAGCTTCTGTTTAGTGTCCACTACCTCACTTGTAAAATATGGGGATTAGAGGTAGTTCGATAGTGCAGTCTCCCCTCTTGGCAATCTAGACTTAAACAGCTTAACCAGTTGATGAGACATGTAGGAGTGGAGATTAGCACCTGTGTACAACTGGAGTGCCATTTTCTTTTCATCTTTATTTTCCTTTTTAAGTAAAAGCTCTGTCAACTTTCTTCCCTCCAGCTTTTTTAAAGCAGATCGGCTTTTGTGAAGTCAAACTGCCAGCATGCAGAATCACTTCACCCCATGCATCAATTTTCTCCTCCTGGCAAAAGCACTCACAGCTCTAAGCCACTCAGCACCTCCAAGGAACGCTCTGCAGCGTCCCCTACAACTTTCTCAGGCATCTTTAGCAACCACTGCTCATCCTGACCTGCCACAGGAGTCACAATTAAATACGTAGCTGCTCTGCAGGACTGCTAGGTGGAACACAGAAGTAGATTAACTGCCTTGCTTTGCTCAGCCAAACTCTCAGCAGACGGCTTGCAGCAGCCCAACGCAGCACCGCTTATCACTAGTTTTGCCAGGCTAATCATGGGAAGACACCATGTGGTTTGCTCGCATGTGTTGCCTAGATCTGGCCATCACTGAGCCTCAGTAGGGACCTGCCATCCTTGTAACAGCAATGGGTACTCAAGACCCTGTGTAGGTTTAGCTGGACTGACAGCTACCCAGTGATGATGGAAACAAATGCTTTCCCTTCAGTCTCTTCAATCTGTGCCCTCCACAGTGGTATTTCAGTTTCAGGTGTTTAGCATGGTTTCTTCTGATGTTTAAGTAACATTGTGTTATTTTCTTTACTAAGGTTGTATAGTGATTGCTGACGCATAATTCCTCATCAAACAAATGGTTTGTGAGGGTGGGGAAAAGGGGACTTTGTCCCAGCAGCTCCTTGAATATTTTCTGTTCTAGAGACAAATGCCACAGCTTGGAGTCTTTGTTGCCATCTCCTACTTTGCCATACCAGCTTAGGACTTGTTCCACAATGCTCGTTATGTGGTGCACACTTGCTGAGGGCAGAGTCACTCCACCTGACTTTTTTATATAAAGCACCGACCCACATCTTAGCCTGCTCTCGTCTGACTCAAAGAGAGAAGCAACACAAGCCTCGCAGGGCAAGGCAGAGGCCAATTCCTCAGCAACGAAGCCTGCAGTGCAGGTGATGCTCTGTGTATGCAGCGATAGGTCTGTCAGTGCATTACTCAGCACAGAGCCATGCAAAAGCAAGCCTGCACAATAAGGGTGTGCTGCTGCCAGTGTCCTCTCACGAGCTGGGTTATACTGAGCACAAATGCTGCCAAGGGTCAGATCTCTCCTATGAGACAGGGATGTGTCCAAGGAGGAGATCGTATTGCCCGGTGCCAGGCTGCAGCTGGCCAGCAGTTTGTGATAAGCAGCACGAAACGTGCTGCAGGTGGGGTTCCCACTGCTGCCACAGGCTTGCCTGAGGGCCCCAAGAAACAGCTCCAGTGGGTCGAGGCTGAAGGCAGAGGCCAGGAGGTGTTGGGAAGGAGTGCCTTCCAGACTCACATAGTTGGTGTAAAGCCACTTGAGGCTTTCAGCATTGAGCAAGAAACTTAAGAATCCTAATTTGCGTTTGCTCTTAATAATGTATCTCCCCATAGAGTCCACTAAGGTGATAAAGCAGCTCTTGGCCTCATTAAAGAGGTGAATTACTTTGGTGTAGTTTCCAGCTAACAAAGTCCCCTTCCGTCCCTTTCCATAGGGACTTCTGCCGTGAAAAACGTTGCACAGACGGCTCATCAAACGCACAAACTTGGCAGTACCACTGCAGTTGTGGAACGAGGCCAGGCCCAGCTTCTGGAGGTGCTCCAGTGCATCAGCAACACCCTCGCTGAATAATGGGGTGGCGGGGTTGACCTTCAGGTGGTACCTCTCCTCACCCCCAGGTCCACCTGACTTGGGAGTGCATGGCTCTAACACCCTCTCCACCTGCAAGGTTGCCAGCTCTGCCACATGCTGCCACCACACGGTGTCACTGAGCCACTCTATCTTCTGGAAGCACTGCAGCGTGTTCCTTATCAGCTGGAGTGCATGGCCAACGTCAAAGAAGTATGTGATGCTGTGAGCAGAGCCAGGCGGGTGCTGGAAAGTGCACTGGGTCCTTTCAGGATCTATCCTGATCCCCAGAGCTCTGGCAGTCTCAGCACCATGAGCAGTGGCGCCTGATGTCACAGCCAGCACCGTGATGCCGATGTTGTTCAGCTTATTAATGGTGTGACGAAGCAGCTGAGCAAGGAGATGGCCAGTTGTGCTGTTCACGAAGAAGTAGCCGAGGGGAGCCCTCCAGGGACTTGAGATGCCAACTGCCATGAGGATTATTGCTTCCGAGGCCAGCGGAGCTTCGTCAGTATCGAGGACGCCTGCTCCCAAGTCAACAAAGCCCATCAGGCGCTGGGTCTGTGGGTCCCACTCTTGCTGCTTCTGCAGGGACATGTCTTGTGCCATCAGGGCACAGTAGCAGTAGGCCTGTTCCCCTCTCTCCACCTTTTCCTGAAGGCAGAGGAAAATGTCGTTGCTGAAGCCTGCAGCAGTCTCGTTATTAGACAGCCAACTGGAAAAGAAGGGAAGATGCAATTAGATGTGGTTCTGAGAAAACTGAAGCAACAGCCAGCACCTTTGACCACTTAGGACATGGTCAGCCATGTCCCAAGCTGCAGAACAGGCTAAGCCACAGAGCATAAAGCAAGCAGCCCTGCTTTTCTTAATGCATAGTCTGAGTTCCTCTTTTCACATCCTAGACATGGGAAGCCAAGCAAAAGTACTGACCATGGAAGGAAATAACAAACCAGCTTCCTACCTCTCCAATGTATAGATCAGGACAACAGAAATAACAAAAATTAAACCAAACACAAGTGCAGATCAGGCTATGCAGAGGGCCAGCAACAGCAGGCTGCTCTCCCTCCCACGTGGCTTTCTCCACACTGTACCTCTTAATCCAGTTTGGAAAATACAAAAGGCCCGGCAGCCCATGTGGAATGCTATTCTCCTCTGTCAGCTCTCTGCCCACCACCTCCTGGCACCCCTTTGAGCAGATTCTTTGGAGGAAGCTGTGTGCAACCCCCACAGGCTGTCACGGACAATGTGTGTCTCTGGTGTCCATCATCCAACTGCACTACAGCAGTCTGAGACTCAAAACCTGAAGGGCCACAGTTTCTTCAGCTTTTGTTTTGTGTGCTGTTACAATGTCGCTCCTGGTTAATGGGTCTGACAGCACTTCAGGTAGTAAATTTTCAGCCTACACAATTACTTGCAATGTTATGCAGCCGAGATGTGTGACATGGAAATACCCCCCTTCTGTAACTTTGAAACAGACACCCATCAAGATTCACCAACTTCCCAGAGTCCTTGTGGGGCAAGGTGAGAAAAACCAAAGGTCCAGTCAATCTGCTTTATGTAGGCCTTCACTTTCTCATGTTCCGTTCTTGTCTTCTCCCTTTTCCAGAAACAGTCTCAAAGTTTTCCATGTGTAGCCCTATTGGTTTGGATTTCCTCTTACTGACATTTACTCCTGTCCATCTGTCCTCACTCAGTTTTGGCTGCTAGTGGAGTACTGCAAGTGGTCCCTAAAGTTCCCTCCTGCTGCTTCTTTCTAAATGACCCTTTCTAAATGACCCTTAATGTGCCCTTCCTTCCAGTATTTGGCTCATCCCTCCCCTCGCACAAGTCTGCACTCCACAGGAAAAGAGCGTGTGCCAAAGTGTGGTAAAGCACCTCCACATTTTTGTATTCCTCCTTCTCCCCAGTAAACATATACAGATGCTACAGCAGCTGAGGCCCTGAAATGCAGCTTTTCTCACACCCATGCTCGTCTGGGAATACTCAAACTCCACTCTTCCTCTAAAACTGTTAACGTAAGGAATGTGTTACCCTTATGCTGTGACCCGCATGCATGATGAACACATACCAGCTCTCCAAGACGAAGGGTATCAACATTTCTTGACATTTGCTTCCCACTCCCCTTCTGTTACTAGAACAAGGCAAGGAAAAACTACTCCCACTGAATATTTTCAGGACAGATCTGTTACACCTACTTTTACATGAGTACCTGGAAATACATTCAGAATGAATGAATAAAAACTTGCTTTGTCAGGCTGTAAGGATGAGGCAGGGGAAAAATCTTCCGTAGAAAATCATAGGCCTTATTATGGTAGAGGTGGAGAATACAAGCAAATTGCCTCATTTCTGGTGAGTATTCTGCCATCTGCCTCCAGCTGTGCGTCTCACAAGGCAAATCTGCTTAAAAAAACAAAAAATCAGCTTTAGTGAAGCAAACAAATAGCTGGTAACTTAAGAGAGGGATGCATACTACAAACTCATCGCAGAACACAATGCAACAGGGCTGTCTCTGGAACCACAGTCCCAAAGTGTACAGCAGTACTGCTACCATGCCTTTCCTATTCCTAGGGACAGGCAGCGGCCAAGGAGTGTGTGTCCTACCACACTGTCCCCAACAGGTCTTTCCCCTTTTTTCCTATCTAATGTCATTCTACAGTTTTGAGTAAAGACTGTCTTACATGAGGATGCTGCTTAAAAATTGACATCACAAGAGAGAAGCCATTAATTTATGGTTGACTCTGCAATTTGAAATGGCTTCTTCAGGTGATATTATTGTTAACAGAGCTCACTTCTGGAAAGCACAAAAGATGGGGTTTTCCTAGTTAAATGTATTACTCAGTCACCTGTCAGCTTCAACCTAATGAAGTGCAACAAAGGCAAGTGCAAGGTCCTGCACCCCGGGAGAAATAACCCCATGCACCAGTGTAGGTTAAGGTTGACCTGCTGGAAAGCAGCTCTGTGGAGAAGGACCTGGGAGTCTTGGTGGATGACAAGTTAGCCATGATCCAGCAATGTGCCCTTGAGGTCAGGAAGGCCAATGGTACCCTGGGGTGCATTAAGAAGAGTGTGGTCAGCAGGTTGAGGAAGGTTCTCCTCCCCTCTACTCTGCCCTGGTGAGGCCACATCTGGAGTGCTGTGTCCAGTTCAGGGCTCCCCAGTTCAAGAAAGACTGGAGAGACTCCAGTAGAGGGCTACAAAGATGACTGGAGGACTAGAGCATCTCTCTTGCAAGGAAAGGCTGAGAGAGCCAGGTCTGTTTAGCCTGGAGAAAAGAAGACTGAGAGGTGATCTTATCAATGCTTATAAATATCTAAAGGGTGGATGTTCAGAAGATGGGGCCAGACTTTTTTCAGTGGTGCCCCGCGACAGAACAAGGGGCATTGGGTATAAACTGGAACACAGGAAGTTCCATTTGAACATGAGGAAAATCTTTAGTGTGAGGGTGACAAAGCACTGGAACAGGCTGCCCGGAAAGGTTGTGGAGTCTCCTTCTCTGGAGACATTCAAAACCCATCTGGACGCGTTCCTATGCAACCGGCTGTAGGTGACTCTGCTCTGGCAGAGGGGTTGGACTGGATGATGTCCAGAGGTCCCTTCCAACCCTTGCCATTCTGTGGTTCTGTGAATGGTGGCACAGTTTGATTTAACAGCCCTGGTTGCAGGTTTTACTTGAGTACCGTAGCAATTACTCAAGTAATCAAACTTTTCAAGGAGATTTTAATTCTTTGCAGGATTGGTTGTTGGATTCCAAACTTACAAGTTACAAAGCCTTTGTACCATAGCATCGGATCAGGAAGTCTAACAATCGGGGCTTGTCGACACCATAAAGTCAAACAGAACTGGATCGAGGGAGCACAGAGCCCCTGGAGCAGCCTGCCCTGCACACGCCCCCAGCAGTACCTGAAAACTGGGCCTGCAGCAAACTCACAGTCTCCTCTGAAAGCTGCCGCTTCTCCGCCAGCTCCCGGAGGACGTTCACAACCGTTCTGGGCCGGTGCGCGGGAGAGCATTTACCGGACGCAGGGAGCAGCT